CAGCAAACACTGACTTGCAGACCTGTCTGCTGAGTGTTCCCCTGCCCTGCAGCTTACAGCTCTGCAATACTATGGGATGAGCATGACAGCATTTAACAAACGCTTTGCAAGTTACAGTAATTATGCAATGTATCAAGTGGGAAAGAATCAAGCTCTGGTGGTGCTTTTTGTTTGGTGGAGGAGCAGGAGGTTAGCTGATAATTACGTTTCTAGTAATGATTTAATCCAGCCACTCTTAAGTGTCATGCTTATGTCAGCTGAATAATTTCAAGTCACACATTATTTATAAGCATCACAAATAAAACAAACAAAATCCCCTCTATTAGTGGAAAATACTTTCAGTATCTGGTTAGGAAGATGAATTGCAGGTAGACATGACCTTGTTATAACCCTATTAGAGATGTTATCAAAGTTGTGCTTTCTATTTGCTCACTTTAAGCTGTCCCTGACATAAACCAAAAACTTTACGTGTTGAAGGAAATCGAAACACCCTGCTAGAATGTTTCAGAACCACGTTCAGAAAACCATCATGTGTTCAGGCATCAATGTATTTTTCTTTCAAACTCATTCAGAACAATACTGAAAAGCTTAAGACAACAGTTATATGGCAGCAGTTCAAAGATAACACAGGCCTGGATATCAGACTGTTTTTTCCTCAGGGAAAATATTGAAGTGTTTATGAATTGGAAACCAACAGATTGTGTCTGAAGTATTTTCTACAATGTTGTAACATAACTAAAACCGATACACATACCTCCCATCCTGAATAAACAGCTATATTAACATAACTGTCAACTGTAACACCAGCAATTGAGAGATCTTTTTCAATTTTTAGCATCTTAAAAACAAAATTAAAAAACCCCAACAGTTTGAACTGAAAACTATCAAAACTAAACCACACACCTTACTGTTCTATACCTAATAGTTACAACATATTGGGATTGCCAACATTTCATTTCTTGAATCACAGTATGCACTGTGCACATCTACAACATTACAAATTACAATCCACTGACAACAAATGCTGATTTCAATTAAAAACCTCTTTATTAAGACCAATGCAAAACAGCAATTCTAATACTTTACAGTAACAATTTCAATGCATAATTTAGGAAAATTACTGATTTTTCACATCCTTTTCATCTGTACATTCCTTCTTCTGTGTACATACTATACATAGCATCATTATGATGTCCTGTTGGGATTACATTACCGCGTGTAGTGCGATTTCTTTGGTTCAAAGTGATGAACTTCTTCCTCAAAGGCTTCATAAGCTTCCTCCATCGCATATACGCTGCTGCTACAGATCCGTGAATTAGAAGTGTTTTCTTTAAATTTTGGGCTCTCATTTAGTAAGCTGTCCACTTTCAACATAAGAAGTCATCTGATGATGATTAACAATCAAGAAGCTGCACTATATTCTCTAAGCATTTTAAATAGTAGGCATGTAGCTCATTTTCTTCTTGCTGTGGAATAGCTAAAAGGAAATAAAAACATGATTTGGACTTCTAGTTAATTCTTAATAAAAAATTACTTTTTCAAAGATTGCATCAAATGCCTTGCTAGAATTCATTTATGATCTTAACCTGTATATTAAATATACAGGTTAAGATCATAAATAGCAAGAGGTAGCAAATCAAGTACTCATACTTTATGTTGCAAAGTCTGGTGGTTTTTTTCTTTTTGTTTTGTTCAAAGGCTAGATTTTGCAGCTTTCCAAGCCCCCAGCTGGTTGTGACAAAAAAGTGAGAACTGCCTTTTGGTTATGGTATGTTACAATGAAGTCACGCTTTGTTCTTCCTCAAACTTCTCACTGGGTACAACAAAGTGGGAAATGTAAAATAACAGTAGCCATGTTCAACAATTCCCCCATTTACACTCCGAAGAACAATCTACCATTTTAGCCCAATTATTAATGTAATGTGATCAAAAGCATACTAACTAGGGTAGGCTAGTTCAGAACCTTAATACAGGAAAACATAGATTGCAACCTCACATGACTGTAACCTGTAACAATTACAGTTCATAAAACCTTCTATACTCAATATTCTGATACTTCAATGTTTATTAAATTAAAAATTGCTATTTCAGTCTAGAACTTTGTGTTCTAAAGCAGTACCTAATAGGGATTAATGTTATGAGATGCTAGTCTGGAAAAGATTCAAATTTCTACCTTGCTGATTCAACATACTGTTTTGAAAATTCCCTGATCAGTGGTAGGTATGCTATAAAGAACAACAAAAACTTACCTATAAATTAACACACTATGAATATATGAAAAGTTGTATATGTTATATTTGATGATCAACTTAGTAAAGGATGAGTTTGAAACAGTACACTGACAAAATCAATGGATTTGGGTGACAGTACAGAACAATTAGCATGAGATAGTCTAGCAAGAACACATCTCCTTATTAGTATACTAACAAACAATGTCTAATGTGTGCGGAAATTCTGAGGCAATTCAGTTGTGCAAACTACTATGGGAACCTGGCATCATAAGCCCTGCAAATTGATAAACCTATTTGACTACATCTATAGAGCAATTAAAATGAGACATTTGCATATTTTTGCAAGACCAGAGTGTTCCAATAAATCCCAGCTACAGACCAGTGTTGGAACATTCTTCAGAATAAATGCTCTTAAACTGAAGATGGCAACCTATCACATAAAAACTATCCAAATGACAGTTACATTCAGTTAGTTGACAAAAAACTCAAGTCTTCAGAAAGTCAGCAAACTCATAGTACAGTATTTTAAGACTGGATCAATGATCTGTTCTGATGCCTTCTCTTCATGGCTGAATACACTGAGGCTGAGCACTGTTAAGCAAAGATATTGCTAAATGAACAACTTATCTTATTGTAAATTTTGCTCCAAGCACGATCAGATTTACTGTTACAAACTAACCTTAGCAATTACCTGAGGTATTATTTATAATTTGTTAACCAAGAGACATTTTTCTACATCTGTATTTATAAGATGTCTGACCATAAACCAAATTATTACTCATGATTTTAGAGACAAAAGTATCCTTTCAAAAAATTGTAGCACAACAAAAACTTACTGTGATTATATAAACTGAAATGTATTTACAATCTGAGTGATGAAAAAACACAGAACTGGTATTAGTTGAAAATAAAACTTACTTTTCTTTGCTAAAGAATAAGCCTCATCTATTATTCTCCTTATTGATGGATTCTTCAAAGTCACTTTTGCCTGTAGTACACAAAACCACACAAAATATAGTGATGTGACTTTCTTCCCCACATGTTCACACTTTAACAGTGCAGCTTAGAAAATGAATGTAATTCAGCAGAATTTTAGAATTAGCACATGACTGTATCATCATACAGATTGCATTTATATATGCAGTCACAAATCACAGAAGACAAGCTGCTTCCTTACCATGTTGTTTAACCTCCTAGTCTGAGCACCTACGCAAATACAAAAATGAGATGGAACTGCTACTGTAAACTTTATTTTTATTTACTTAAAGGTTGCTGTAGTGTTTACAGCATAAAAGTTAACATTACAAATTTTTCAATTATTTCTCAAAATGCTAACCTTCTGATAGTTGTGAAGCAAAGCCCAAAGCGAAGCTGCTCCTATTCTCTGAACACCACAACTGTCACTCTCCAAACAGCCAGACAGGACTGCAATCGCTTTATCTAATGAAGAAAATAAAACAAAGCAAACCAACCAACCAAACAAACAACCCAGAAAAAACAAACCACAAAAAACCCAAACCACACCTAGAAAATATAATCAAACCCACACAAGTACGTACACATGTCTCAGCATTTTGGAGCACACTTATTTTTGTATCAAGTATTGTATGGCAGAGGAATTACAGAAATTTTATTATCTGATTAAATTTAAATGTGCTTATGAAATTGGCAGACCACATTCCAAGAAATGGTAAAAAGAATATAGCAAAACAAAACCAAGCAAGGTAAACATTAAGCCATCAGTAATAAAACACGCACAGCCATCAGCTATACACAGAGACTGAGTAAGCCATGAAACACTTTTATAACTTCCAGTATCCACAGTTACAGCCACATCAGGATGGAAATTAAGATGTTTTTATTTTCCTTAGTACTTATTATGTAGATGATTTCTAATAAATGAGAATTATTTGCCACCCCACTGTAGGTGCCTTAATTTCCTAGCTTTGCTCTGAAGCCAGACTCCTCAAGTTTGCTTGTTCACTTCGTAATAAAAATTCACAGATTATGGAACTGTGTAATGTATGCTTAATTTAGCAGCAAATCAGCACCTTAGGGAAAAAAGAAAAGCATGGACACTATGGAAAACCTGCTGAGAAAGACATGAGCATTCTCTGCGATTAAATAAGGGAAACGGGTCTTTTACAAAAAAAATGAGAAAAAAGTTCTGCGCATGTTGTTACATTAAATATACATGCCATGACATAACACAAAATAGTTTATCGCAGTATCTGTGACTTGCAGGAGCTAATATGTTTTGTCCAACTGAAAGATAGGAACTTCACTTATTTCAAACTGACTGACACAAAGGATCCTTCAAAACCTCCCTGAAAAACTAGCTGTTTGAGAAAACCGCAAAAATCTTTTTATTCATCATGTGTTACTATATATTATCAGTCTCACCTCTTGTTTTTTTAACTATTTGCTTTTCCTTTTGCTATATATTATTTAATTGCTTTTCTGCCAAAATATGTGTTCCGTAATTACTTCTACAAAAATAATTTTTATAAAAATGCTTTTCTAAACAACAATATTGTGTTCTTGGTCAGTAACTGAAATTGCAATGAAAACACGGTATTCTGGAAGGCACAATATTCTCAGAGTAAAATAGCTTGAATACCTTTAGATACTTACCATTAGCTAATATCTTTGGCTTATTAGTTGTATTAAAACATATGTTATGTAGAATAAGAAGTGCTAGATGTTGGCTGCTTTTGTGTTTGTATTTACACATTTCCACAATCTGGTCTAAAAACCCATTTATCTTCATAATCATCTGCTGTCCATCTTCTCCAAAAGATATGTTCAGTAGCAGCTTTAGCCAAAGAGTAGACACATTACCAGGATTTTTATTACTTCCTTTTGGTAACGAAAGAGACAAAAAGTTCTGCAGGAAGTTACTCTGTCAGAAGGAAGAAAAAGGATGTTAGAAATTATAGTAGTCCATGTTTTGTTCATTGCTGTTTGACCTTCCCGTCTGCACATTTGACCAAAACCTAGTATTAATGTTTCATTTACGTATTTCAGAGAACCCATTATTATAATCAGGGATTTTTGAAAGAATTGGATATGAAAAAGTATCCACATCTTGGTTAAAATGTTAATACGGTAAAATACATTTTCTTCTGTAATAATTTATGCAGTGTAGTTACATAACTTGAGTGTATTTCTTTAAAGGCTAATTCCCACCACTACCTAAGCTTTTTGCTATGCACTTAGCGTTTATGCCCAAAAATAAGCTAGAAAAAATTTAATTGAATCAATGTTCTACTTACTTAATGTATTCTTGATTCCTTATTTGTTATTGCTTGCATTATTAGCAAATGTTAAAGAGATCATAGAATACCTCAAGTTGGAAATCACTTAGAAGGATCTATAGTCCCACACCCCCCTTCACTGACAGGCATAGGAATGTTGTCTGGTTTTGTAAGCTTTGAAGAAAGAGATCTGTGTGTTGATGTGGGATATGCTACTCCTTCCTCATCTCAGTGTTTGCCTCCACTTTAAGGAGACTTTGAGCAGGTGAAAACCTATTCCCCTGTTGCATAGAAAAGATGTTCTAAGATAACACTCCTATGACTATAATGAAACAAATCCTTGACTAAATATTCCGAACCTCACTGACCTTCAACAACACATACAGGCATCTAGTTAAAAGCAAACGATCCAGCATAAAACCTCGCTGTGGTTTTCTTCACGTGAATATAATATTGGCAATTTAATGGAATTAGTAATTCAGCATTGCTTACACTTACGAAAGCAGAGCTCAGAAGACAAAATGAAGACTAAGTATTATCACACTATAGTGAAACTCTGAACACAGCAAAAGCCAAACCAATTCACAGACCAACTACCACAGAAAAGAACTTAAACTCTTAGTTTCTATCACAAAGTGTGAGTATCAGCAATTTTGTAACTGTATGACCAGATTTTACAGAATTAGCACTACAAAAAGATCATACTTCTCCCTGCCTTTTCCAACAGGTAATTAGGTCCAAGTACAGAACATTGTTAATGTAAATTGAAAGAAATTGTTAAAATTATTAAACTACTATAAAAGATTCTAAAAACAAACACACTTTTTATAAGTTCTACTGTGTTAGCTAGTTTTATCATATCACCACCATAGTTGATGTTCTACATGGTTTGACTTCTCAAGGTGTTGAATTTAAATGATCAATGTTAAATTTTAACAAAACAGATTTCTCAGAGAAAATTTCATAAAATATAGAAGGATCATTCAATATACAAATTAAAAAGGGAAAAGACAGTACCGATGTATTCTTATTTATAAAATAAAAATAGATTTCTACCCAACAGCCAATTACAGACATGTAGGACATCTTCTTTTAAACTATAGTTTTTACAAAGATTGTTTCACACAGTATACCTAACAATTTATATGCGTAATTTCTTGTTTACCCCCATGCAGTCTGTTCTACTGTATGCTCATTTCCATGATCCACTAGTGATTACTATCGATATATCTAGGTATTAATTTTTTTACACCTCACTGAAACTGAGAGGTTATAAAAAGCTGTAGCAAAAATTGGTTCCGTATGCTGTTTCTGCTCAGACTATGAATAGGACTGAATTACATGATTCGCTTTGGGAACAGTAACACAACTGAGGAGACAATGGCTTTGATTTCTGCAGAAGCATCTGCATATGATCACAGGACATTCCATACTGAAATATGAGAGTTTATTAAAAAGGAAAATGCATCCATCACATTCCTAATATCAAGAATATAATGTACTTACCTTCTGAATAATGCCTTTACAGTCATGAGACAAAGCAAGGTTAGAAAGAAGACAAAAGACCACCTGCTGAATTGGGCTGTTATCATTTGACACTTGGGAAGCCAATTTCAAGATGTTATGCATTAATGAATTGCCAGCTGCACTTCGTGCAGACGGAAGTGATGATGATTGTCCACCACTGGCCCAACAAAGTGAAGTACAACCTTAAAAAAATTAAATGTTTATCATATGAGAAATGTGCATATACATTTAAAATAAAAAAAAGATCTATAGAAAGGGCAGTCTAACAGCTCAAAGATTGAGATGGAAATTTTGAAAGGAGTATGTTTTATTTTTTCTTTGAACCATAGTGAAGTCAGCGGGACATGCTTTGAATAGAAATGTGCGGGTTTTAACTGTTAAAAACATCTACATGTATTTCTTTGTCTGACTACCCTAAGGGGAAGTGGGTAACTAGTTCAGAGGAGGTAAGTTTGGGTCACCTCATAAATCAACTATTCTGAACAGAAAGAAAAAATATGATGAAGCTAAAATCACTTGCCCTTATTAGTGAGGAAAAAAAAAATGCAGTCTAGAGTCACTCAGAGTTAAGAAACAAGAAAGAACATCAGGACTTCAGCTTGACTTCTAGTACATCACAGGACATTACATTTCAATTTTATATCCTGGGGTTGACTAATACACATTCGACCATTCTTTAGTCCCCATTAAAAAAAAAAAAAAGTCTTTATTAAAAAAAAAAAGGCATCACAAGCTCATTTAAGGTCTGAGGACATTAACTAAAAAGAGGGTTGAAAAGCTCAGAGACTGTCTGGTTAGTATATTTTAACCATGCTAACTCTTTTATAGTCTTGACAGAGGGAAATCAACACATACTAATATGTCTCTTCAAGCCACTAGCAAATCATTACCTGAGTTAATAATCAGGATACGGAATGAGACAAATTCATATTAGGGGAAAAAAAAATAATAAAAAAAAATAAATTACCCATAAATGTCCTCAAATGACAAAGGGAATCCTTATGAAAAATACACAAATATAAGCTACTGAGACCAATGCACAAATAAATGGAAGAAATCTAGTACAGAATTAAATTAGATTTTTTTATATATCAAAATCAGAACATTCTCAGTAAGGGCTGAAGTTCAAACTGTATGAAGTACTGACACATTGTTCTCTGTGAAAGAATTCCTAGAGTAGTATTTTATGGAATACTATTCAGTTTGGCAGGATTTTCACTGTAACCTTCAAACATAATGGTTTGAATTTAATGCTATTTAATCCTTTCATAAAATTGTACTCTTGCTAAATCCAACAGACTGAAACAGGATCTGAACAAAAGTCTTGAATCTATTAAAATCAAAATTCTCAATAGACTTTGATGGACCAGGGCTTTTATACTTCCCTGCTACGGTACTAATAAACATCCCTTTCCCTTTATTATGTTTTTCTGTCTTAATTATTCTGGTTAAATATTTTGACGTATTACATCATAAAGTGATTCCCCTACCTGCAGGACAGTTTGCAGTGTAGACACAAAGCAAATGCAGAGCTATTTGCATTGAGGAGTCATCCATTAAAAACCATGGCCATAGTGAATGCAGAACAGGAACAAGGTGAGTTTTGAGTGCTGCCATCTACAAGAACATGAGGAAGAATTTAAACTGCTATACTATTAAATACTTTGAAAATGAAGCATAAACAGAGTGAGAAAATTGTATTTTCATCTTATTATGTCCAATTTGTTTGCTGTAAAAGATTGTAGGAGAAGAACTGACACCCTAATTTCAACACTAATGAAATTGATTCTATCTTGGTCAAAACCAGCACATATTTTAATTACTGAGACATGCAAACAAAAGTAAAAATTCATTCATTCCAACTGTGGTTGTTCAAGAGCTCCCTATTCTAAAGTTAATTTTACTCAACTAAACTAATTATTAGAACTCAAAAAGCATGGAAATAGAAGACTGCAGTTCTACAGAGCAAATGATACAAAACTTCAGTTATCAACTGCAACCTCCTTCTCTTATCCAAGAAACTCTCTGCAGACCCCTGATCAAAAGAAACAAAACAAAAAAAAAATATTCCACAATATCTCTTATCTGATATTATGATACAACAAAGTTATGGGGACCTTAAGGATAACAAGGTGGCTTATTGAGGTCCATAGTTTACATGGTGTTCTGTATACAAAACTGGTGCTAACACATGCCCACAATAGGGATATTTCTGGAAGATCTGGAAATCTTGTTTCCACCAATGCATTTGCTAAAAGTAGCACAAGTTGTATCACAGTGCCAAGACAAATTTAACTGTGAAAGAGAAAATGGGAATAAATGTGTGAAAGGTATCAGCAATAAGAAAGAGTAGTGATCAGAAAGCAAGAATACAGGAAAGAATGAAAGAATGTAATGTAGAATTTTCCTTATGTTAAAAACAGGTAGGCAGAAAAACTGAAGTAGAAAAGAAATCGAAAGCACAAAAAAAAGAACAAAATACCAAAAAAAACCCCCAAAAAACCCAACAAAGAATGTGAAAGTAAAAGAAGACATTCAAAACAAGATTCTGAGCAAGGAAAATGATGAAAAAAAACCCAAGATGAAAACAAAATTGTGCTTTGCAGGATTAGTGTAATTTAACTCAAGAAAAATAAATGTGTTTGGTTTTTTGAGGGGATTTTTTGTGTGTTTTGTTGGGGGGATGGTTTGTTTTACTTTTGTTTTGCTTGTTTGTTTGGGTTTTTTGTCTTTCAGAAAGGCAAAAGAGAGAGTAAAGAAGGAAAGGAAACTTAACTTTCCAGGCTGTGAAGTGTCTCTCTTATGCCCCCACACCTTTCCCCACATCCATTTTTTATATTATATGCTTTGAAAACTACAATTATTAATTTCAGTAAACAAAAGTGGGTATAAAAGACAACAGCCATCTAAAACCTTTGGGAGACGATGTTTCAATGAGAACATTGAGTTCCTGTGCCTTTATGAAATATTCTTAGGAGGCGGGAATTTAAAGTATTTCTTGCCATTAATATCAAGCTTCAATTTAGCCAGCTTGAAAATAATTTCAAAGTAGAAAAAAAAAAAAATAAAATCACAATCTTCATTCACTAACTGAATGTGAATACTTACTTTACATTCTTCATTTTGAAAGAGGCAGTTTCTGAGGAGCTGCATAGAACACCTTAACTGTTTGTTAAGGTTATCCTCCTATCCAGAGAAAAACATTTGAAGATCATCAACATAAGACCAGAATGAATTTTGTATGAGAACAAAAGTGATTTCAAAGGAGAGGTGCAAATTTAAGACATCAACACTTGGATCTCTGCAGTAGAGTTTCCTTCTGATCTCAGGTAGGATTAATCTCAGCTAGCTTTAAATACTAGTATACTAAAGACATTTATAACAAGTTACTACTAAAGACATTTATATTAAGTTACTTGGAGTCATTCTCATCTCTCTTTATAACCTACAGATATCATTTCTAGGGGCACTGATCTGGCCAAATGCAGAGATCTGTAATGTAGCACTCCACATTGCTTACAACTAATCAAGAACGGGTGGGAACACCTTCTGAGTATTTGTTCCACCCTAAAGCAGACGTCTAAAATAAGTCAAATGAATTGCTCCCTAGAAGCATCTATTTTTCTTCCTTGGATAACAAGAATAAATTAGCTCTGTCTTACAGATCTCTACATTTGGTCATAACAATGCATCCTGATATTCCCAGTGTCTTGGTTCCCTATCCAAAATAACAGAAATAGTTTCCATCCTGATAAGAATATTACAAAGATAAATACAGACCTTTGGACAGTGAGGTTCTACACTGAGATTCAAATACAGAAGTAAATGAAAAAAATAAATCTATGTTTGTGATAGTGCTGTGACACTAAAAAGTTAATGATGGCTGACCTAACTTCTATAAAGTTGACATACTAAACCACTTCTGAAAGATAATCAAATTCCAATAAGCTTGTTCACCACAGCAGACTATTTCTGTTCTATCAAGCATAAAGGAACAAAAATGTAAAATAGGATTCTTGCTTAATCACAGACAAGGTGACGCAACAATGCTTGCTTATAAATCACATCATACAGTCGATGACATTTAGAGAAGTAAAAGCCTACATCAAAAAAGTTAATAAAAGTCAGGTGTAAGATGAAAAACACACAAGTCATAACTCTAAGATGTTCCTTGAAGAACTTCCACATTATTAATTTATTTAATAAATACAAATAGTACTAAATCTTATAAAATGCTACAAGCTACAATTTATATTTACGTTAAACTTCTAGAAGGTTGAAAAAGCTATAGACTGTGTCAATGTCGCTGTCTGTATTTATTTGTTTTAGGATATCTTGATTTTTACTACAATCCTATTTTGAGGTGCTTTGGTTCTCTTTATTTTTTTTCTTTTTTTTTTTTGAAAGCTTAGTTATTTGTAAGTAGTTTGTATGCCCTTGGTTAAGATCACAGTCATTATTGTGAACAAAAAGGAACATCAGGTAAAACAGTTAAAAGAAAAGAAAGAGAAAAAGAAAAGAAGCTCTGATAACTTCACTTTGAGAACTGTGCCTCAGAGTGGGCTGTGGAGCAGTTTTGTGAATCATCAGCTGAATCTGACTTTTCCTCATGTGAAACCAGTTTGCTTGTCATTATGTACCATATATGATGAACAGCACACTTACATATAACAACCTATAGTCCCAGCTCAGCAGAGAAATCTGCCACAAAGTCTTTTGCAAATCTCTTCCAAATAATTCTTAATTAAACAGTGTTTCTGACCTTTCTCAGAGGCTCCATTCTTTCGAGTTTTAAATTCTTTCTACATTTAGGAGAGTAACAAATGTCCCCAGATTTCCCCTTCTCAACCCAAGAAATATAAAGAAGCAGCTGACTTCAACCTTGCTAGACATAACCAGGGCAGGACACCTTTCAGCCTCCACCCCTTGAACAAAGGATAATAAATGTTCTTAGGAGATCTCAAGAAAATATATTGTAGCCTTCAAATGTCAGGGTCAAACTCAAATTCTTTTAAGAGCTCACTGTTATAAAACACAGTTCCACACTCGCAAATCAAGGCTAATGTCTGTATCTGCCAGCGCCTTGGAGAAAAATACTATTGAGCTCAAACAATGCAGAAATATCCTCCAGGAAGACGCTTTCCGCAATTTCTGTTTTATGTGGAAGTGGACAAGATATCAAACTTGACAGCAGAGGTTATTGTTCGTATTTTAATAATTCTTTTAGATGAAAGTAGTAGAAAACAACAGACTGCCACAAAAATCTTATAAAACGTTGTCTGATGGTAAGGAATAATCTATGTCTAGGTGTGGTAAGGAAGAGCTGGCTGATGTGAGAGTCTGGAACAACTGGAAGGGAAGTTATTTAAGAAAAAAAAAAAAAGGCTAAAGAAACTGTGAATGTAGAGAAGAATCTGGGAGTACAGGTAGTGGAAGGAGCAGAAGTATGAGGTAAAAAACCAACTGTGACAAGAAGTCAAAGCCAGGGACAACTGAGTCTGATGACAAGAGACTGCAACATCCAGACCAAATACGCAGGAGGACAGAAAACGAATTAGAATTGGAAGCCAGATAATATGAGAATGTAGAGAATAAAAAAATATGACTTACATGTGCAACCAGACTGGCATTGGTTTTGGGGTGGGGAGAAGACTGACTGGTACAGGAACAGACAAAACCATAATGACTAGCACTAGTTGAAAGACACTGAGAGAGAAAAACTGAGAAACAGAAAACATATTATTGTGGAAACTAGGTGGGAAAAATTGGCTGGATTGGACCATGAAGTCAAGGCTGAAAATCCAAGTATGTTTGAAAATAATACAGTACTCTTAGATATTGCTGTAGTCTAAACAAATATAAATTGCAAGCACTGACAGGTGACAAATGGATGAACATATACGTGTATGAATGTCTGAAACTGAATTTCTGAACTCTCAACAAGAAGCCTGCTAGCTGCTGACTTCAACCAGAATGGGCTAGTTGCTAATTCTGATAAGCTGGACTAAAAATGGGAAGTCCTGAATCCTCCAATTACAGAAAAGACAAGAGACAGAACCACTAACTCAGAGGCCTATCATGTATTGTACTTCTCGTATAGAATATTTAGATTAGGTAAACAGGAGCTTGGTTCTGGAAAGAAAAGTTGGTGGTGACAAGGATTTCTGAAAAGAAATGGTCTCTGGAAGAAAGGGTCACTCTGCAAGTGAGAGAAGATCCAGAAGACTAGAAAGACGCATGGAGACAAACACCAGTGCATGCCAAGGGGCTCTGGCCAGTAACACCCAAGACTGGTAACTAAGCAACTGCAAAACACAATCCAATATGATTTTCTGCCTGACTTTCCTGAACCAGCAGACATTTACATGTTGGAAAGGGAAATTGAGACCTAATGAACATAACTCTGGGTGGGAGAGTGAGTATGTAAGATAATCAAGTTGGTAAAAGCTCTAAAATCACTGAATCTTAAACTCTAGCATCCAGATCCAATACAAGCTGTCATTTACTCTGTCTCACCTGTGACAGGTAATAACAGTAATGGCCTCAAGAAAACAAACAAAGAAAACAAACAAACAAGAGCTTGGAAGTGCCTTAACATATCAGTCTTCTGATTTTTACAGTTACCTTTTTTTTCTGTGTTTTCCCAGCCTTTAAGGAATCCAAATTCAGCTGTGCATGAATATGTTTCATGTTTTCTATACAGCTGTTTATCAAGTCAACTGGAAGACAAAAAATATTAACATTTTGAAGTTCATTCATAATCAAAAATATTTTATGAAACATAAAATAGCTTTCTTGCAATCATCTTGATTACTGTTACCCTCCTGAACTGAGATTTAAGGATTCAGATATCCAAATTGTGTGAGTTCATAACGTATGTTATCTTTTTGATTATCAGGAAGTAACGAACTGTGTCTGAAATAGAATGCATCTAGCTGAATGATCTTTAGAAGCAAGAATACATTTGAGTCCTTTTGCAACAGAGTCCTGCGAGAGGAATTACAAAAGGAAAGGGGAAGATGGATTTGGGAGGAAGAGGATAGCAACTCATAACTCTTTGGCCTATCTTCAATGATGCTGCCTAGAAGACTGAAGCTTGAAGAGGTTATGGCATGCATTTATCTTATCTTACCCAATTTTTCTGTAACAGCAGCAGATTTGCTGCATCTGAGGAGGAAGGAAAGCAAATGTTGAGGTGACACAAAGCGCAAAATTTTGAATTAGGTTCTCTTCTTGGTATCTAGAGTCTTTAATTCATTACAAGATCATGGAGTGACTACATCAGTGGACAAGGGAAGAACTAGGGATCTCATACGAGACTTCTGTAAGGCCTTTGACTCAGTCACCCACAACATCCTTCTCTCAAAATTTGTGATGGGTGGACTGTTCAGTGGACAAGGAATTGGTTGGATGGTTACACCCAGAGAGTAGTGGTCAATGGCTCACTCTCAAGATAGAGATTGGTGACAAGTGGTGTCCCTCAGGGGTCCATACCAGCACCAGTACTGACAAGTCTGAGGGATGGGATGCCATCCAAAGGGACCTGGACAAGTTTGAGAATTGGGCCCATGTGAATCTTACGAGGTTCAACAAGGCCAAGTGCAAGATCCTGCACCTGGGCCGGGACAGCCACTGGTATCAATACAGGCTGGAATGAAGGGACTGACACCAGCCCTGCCACGAAGAATTTGGGGTTACTGGTGGATGAACAGCTGACAATGTACACTTGCAGCACAGAAGGCCAACTGTATCCTGGGTTGTATGAAAGGAAGTGTGACCAGCAATTTGAGGGGGGCAATTTTCCCCCTCTACCCCACTCTGGTGAGAACCCACCGGGAGTACTGTGCTCAGCTCTGGGGCCCTCAGCCCAGAGGGCCACGAAAATGAGCAGAGGGATGGAATACCACTACAATGAAGAAAGGCTGAGTTGGGAATGTTCATCCTGGAGAAGAGAAGGCTCTGGGAAGATCTTATTGCAGCCTTTCAATAGTTAATGGAGGTTCTAAGAAAGATGGGGACAAACTTTTTATCAGGACCTGTTGCAATAGGACAAGGGGTAATGGTTTTATGGTAAAAGAGAGGGGATTTTGACTAGATATAAGGAAGAAAGCTTTTACAATGAGGGTCGTGAAACACTGGAACAGAGAGGTGGTTGGTGGCTCATCCGTGGAAATACTCAAGGTCAAGTTGGACGGGGCTCTGAACAATCAGATCTAGTTGAAGATGTCCCTGTTAACTGCAGAGGGATTAGCCTAGATAACTTTTAAAGTCCCTTCCAACCCAAATTATTTTATGGTTCTATGATCATAGGCTCATGGGATAACTCAAGTTGGAAGAGATTGCCATCAGGTGTCATCTAGTCCAACCTCCTGCTCAAAGTAGAGTCAGCTATAAGATCAGGCAAGGTTTACTTGTAGCCTTATCCAGTTTAGTCTTGAAAATGCCAAAAGACAGAGACTGCACAGTATGTCTAGCCACTGTTTTACCGCCTTTGAATGGAAAATATTTCTTTATAGCCAGTTTGCCAAATTTCAATTTATGCCCATTCTCTCTCACCCTCCTACATCATGCACTGCTGTAAAAAAACCTGGCTCTGTCTTCTTCAAAATCTCAGAGGTACGAGAAGGTCATCCCAAAATGTTATTTTTTCCAGGTTGAACACTGCCAGTTTCCTCAGCCTTTCCTTTAGGGACAGGTAGGAACAACCACCTTCATGCCCCTCTGCTGAACTTGCTCCAGTTTGTTGATGTCTTTCTTGTACTGGGCCAAAACTAGATTCATTATGCTGGGTTTGGTCTGACAAGTGCTAAGTAGAAGAAAGATAATCCTTTCCCCTTGATCTACTGGCTGTGTTCCTGCTAATACAGCCCAACATGCTGTTATTCTTCTCACATTCAGCTTGCTGCCTACTAAGACCTCAAGGTCTTTTTCAGCTCCCCAGTCAGCTTGTACTGCTGTAAGGGTTTGTTCCTTTCCAGGTGCAGGACTGTATTTGTATCTTAAAAAGAAGTGCTTAACAGTTGAACAGGTGATGTTAGAGCTACAGATATCTCCGGGACATTGACTTGACCCTCAGAACTTCTCTTCCTTTCCTCTAAGGTTTGTGCTGCATCACAGCAAGGACAATGTGAAGGCTACTCTAGTGTAAAATGTGATGCATTTCATACACTGCTAGTGCCTTCACAAGATGTCAGGTCTTAGATGATCTAGAAGGTCACCAACAGAAGAAGAGCCCTGATTAAAGCAAGGGCTGAGTAGACCACTAGCTTACTGGGAAAGAGCAGAAAGCAGGTACATAGCATAGGATTTTAAGTTCAGAGTTTGCTGCTGCTATTACGGTGAGACATTGAGCAGTTATGTCTAGGCTATGTATTTCAGCGTAGCGTAGTTTTAAGTACTGAACAAACCAACAGAGAGATGTGAGTAATGAGAAAGCACCCAAGACAAAGTGCACTTGGGCTGATCAGCAGGCATTTAATGTACGACACAAAAAAAATGCAAATAACTAGTCTCCCCTGTGTTCTACTAGACACAAAAAGCCTTTGATTAGAGGTTTTTAACTTTTGTTTTACTGCTGTAAAATCAAAACTTTAGCATGAAAGATGACGCACTGCAAGGGAAGAAGGTCCTACTTAAACTGTAAAATGGGAAGAAAGAAAGGAAGTGGCAGGGAAGAACAAAGCTAAGAAGAAGTCTCTTCATGTCTAGGTCATTAAGGTTCTAGTCAGAACTGAGAACAGAGGGCATACTTTCACTTACAAACCTGTACTGGCATAGCATGAAACAAGAAATGGAAGATACTACCAGCACAAAATCTCCCATTTTGAATGGATGAACATGCCACTAGCACTAAAAGCTCACGGGTTTCTTCTCACTCCAACACAGAGCTGTGATTTCACCGCAAGTTTTTACACTGGCTATAATGTAATATTTTACCTGCAACTGAAAATTTTAATTAGTAATAATGTTTTCTGTAAAAATCTGCAAAAAAATGCCACTGAAAACTAGGACTTTTGTTTTGACAGAAACCATTATGATTTAAAAAATTACATGAAACACCTGCAAGCATTTGATTCATATATCATTTAACATACATTTTGAAATGCTCACCTTCCAAAGCAGATTTCTGGGCATTTTTACTGACAGCTAAAAGAGACAGCAGTGCATTTGTAGCAACTTCTTTCAGCACATCCTTTGAAGATTTTCTTTCACAGATCTACAGATAATGCAATTTTATTACTAAAATGAGAAAGTGAGCATAGTAAAAGTAGTATTCATATCTATAAATATGTTATCATGATCTATATTTTCATTTGGATGATTCATGACTATATTCCTGTCCAGAGTTCTCCCTCTGTATATTCATTTTTATAGTTCATCCGCACTGAAGTTTTTAATTATTTTTTCTAATAACAGTGTTAAGATTTCCCACCCACCCACACCAAGCTCACTCCTCTTACTCTTTTCTTAACATTCTACATTCCTAAAGCCTAGATTCTCAGCCCTAGCATTCCAGGCCTTTTCTAATGTTCAGGCTTGCTATTGCAGACAACTCACTGACATGCTGTTGGTGCAATCTCACTTTCCTTCAACACAGCGATGAAGAAGAGACATTAAACATCAGTGAAATTCTTCAGAATAAAAATATCATTGACACACTGATAGTTGCTGGGTTTTTTAGATACTCTTCCAACCAGAGAAAAATTGTCATTTGTTTTATTTTTGTGAACATCATAGTATCTCTAATAACATAAATATAACATCTGTGCTTTCAAAAGAATATTTATTTGGAGCCGTATAACAATATAGTTGAAAGATGAGTATCTGTTTGTACTTTATACTATATACACTTGAGAATTTTGTCTGTCTAGCAATTTTTCCTAAACTACCATTCCAATACTGATATCCAGTACAACAGAAAATGGTAAGCACCGTAATACAATAAAGTAAGAACTGTCGCTGGATCATACTAGAAAGCAAAACACATTTTAAAGTTAGCCAAAAAGACAGCATCTTAAGAAAAAACTTAACACTTCAGAAATAAATCTTGTGAGTACTTCACCCATAGGACTTCATAGATTTTACACTTCTACATACTTCACATATATCCCCTTTTATTGGCTTTAGCCCTTTAGCTAATAATTGTCACAAATTTTTCAAATTGTAATATGCAATAAAATCTCAATCTAAGCTCTAGGGTTATCAAAGCCAGGTTGGATGGGGCTTTGAGCAACCTGATCTGTTGGACGGTGTCTCTGCTCATGGCAGGGGCATTGGAACTAGATGATCTTGAAGGTCCCTTCCAACTCTATGATTCTGCAAATCTATGTGTTCAGTGTAAGCAGAACAGAAAATGTCGATAGATGAAGACTAAGTTTACAACTTGAAAACAAAAACCAGCCAAAATAAGGCTGATAAGGACAAGTGACACCAAAACAAAGCACCAAGGCATGGACTGGGTTCTGCATTTATAGCTACCAAAAAAAAAATAATAAATTCACATTTAGACTACAGTTGGTTTTATTAGATTCCAAGTGATCTAATAAAACCAGTCCTAGTTTTGGGATCTAACTAGATCAGCAACACAAGAATATTTTAAGTAAATTATCTATTTTTCTGTATTGATAAGTGGTGGTTTCTTTTCCAAGTAAATAATTTAGATGTCTGAGTAGTTAAAAATATAAAAATCAAAGCTTAAGCTTGATGTTAATTTACACTAGCCAGCAAAACATGACCTGGAAGTGTGTGCTTGCAGCTCAGAAAGCCAATCATATCCAGGGCTGCATCAAAAGGAGCTGAACAGCAGGTCAAAGGAGGTGATTTTCCCCCTCTACTTTGCTCTTGTGAGTCCCCACCTGCAGTACTGCATCCAGCTCTGGGGCCTCTAACACAAGAGAGACATGGACATAGAATCTTAGAACAGTTAGGGTTGGAAAGGACCTTAAGATCATCTAGTTCCAACCCCCCTGCCATAAGCAGGGACACCCCGCACTCAACCCAGTTGCCCCACGCTTTGGGTTGGAGCATTCACAACTTCCTTGAGCAACCCATTACAGTGCCTCACCACCTTCACTGTAAAGAACTTCTTCCTTATATCTAATCTAGACTTCTCCTGTTTAAGTTTGAAACCATTACCCCTTGTCCTACCACTACAGTCCGTAATGAAGAGTTCCTCCCCAGCATCCTTGTAGGCTGGGGAGGGACTCTTTATTAGGGACATGCTCAAGCATGTCCAGAGGAGGGCTATGAAGATGATCAGAGGGCTGGAGCACCTCTCCTATGAAGACAGGCTGAGATAGTTGGGGTTGTTCAGCCTGGAGAAGACTCTGGAGAGACCTTAGAGCAGCCTTCCAGTACCTAAAGGGCGCCTACAAGAAATCTGGAAAGGGATTTTTTACAAGGGCACGTAGTGACAGGACAGGGGAAAAGCTTCAAGCAGAAAAAAGGTATATTTAGATTAGATGTTAGGGAAAAACTCTTTACTATGAGGGTGGTGAGACACTGTCACAGGTTGCCCAGAGAAGGTGTGGCTGCCCCACCCCTGGAAGTGTTCAAGGCCAGGTTGGACGGGGCTTTAAGCAAGCTGGTCTAGTGGTAGGTGTCCCTACCTCTGGCAAGGGGGTTGAAATCAGATGACCTTTAAGGTCCTTTCCAAGCAAAACCATTCTATGATTACATGAAAAAAAAACAAAATGATGAGTTCCTTCAATCCTGCGTAACCTAAAATGTAGATTAAAAGTATAAAAATTCCATTCTTTCTTAAAGAATGCTCCTTTATGCTTTTTTCCTTTACTCTTCAATCAAGAATCATAGTTTTTAATTAAGAAAAAAGTCAATCATAGGGAACATTTAAATAATTAATAATTCACAACTAACTACTAGTTGAGTGGAAAAAAAATACTCTAAATTTATCATTTCTTTTGCCATCAGATTCTATAGGTTTAAATGACTAGTATTAAAGCATTAAAATGTGAATGGACACTTTTAACACTTTTTTGAAATTATGATGTATAATAAATTTAAGATGTCCCATAAATCCACAGCAGACACAGCTATGTTAGACTGCACCTTCTGTAAGTTAGTTGAAGGGGAGATCACTGACTTTCTGAAACATTATATATTTTGTATCTAGAAAATAAAAGCTAGGGCCTAAATTTGAGACATTATGTATGGATTATGGTTTCCTTATTACTTTTACTCCTGATTTTGAAAACATGTACACAAGGGTTAAAGTTGACATACACAAAAGCACCAAAACCTTTTGAAGTCAGCATGTGCATTTATTAAAGCGTTATATGCAATAATGCATACCAATTTAGTACCTGGTCACACCTGCAGACAAGGTCCCAAGTTAGCATTTGACATTGCATATCAACTCCTCTGCAGATTTTATCTTGTTAGATGATTAATGGAGATGACTATTTGAAAATTGTCTCTCACTGCCTTTTCTGTTACTCAGTATTTGCTGAAGTGCTTCTCTTGAAGGAAGGTTATATTTGTTATATATATAACAAATTTTTCAGTTGTTATGTGGTTTGATATTTTTTGTGTGTTTTGTTGTGTTTGGCTTTTTTTAACAGCCAACTTTACATCCTATGGGCTCCTCTTTCAAGTGCCTCTGAATGATCACTGGAGGGTAAGGAGGGAAGAAGTACATAAATATATGTACTTCGCTCTAAAAATTGAAGCTGGTTTTTCCTAATTCTGCTATTCTTTTGAGGGCATCATAGCAGCTTTAAAAAGCATTATAGCTTCATCATAGCATCACAGCATTATAAAGCCCCTGATAGAACAAGTTATCTTCTGAGCTATTTTATGACCAAAATGCAATGTCTATCTACAGCTCTGAACAGTTAAAGAGCAAGTTAAAAAGCTGCTATCTCTTACAATACCATGTCATAGTGTCTGATGTACTTTTGGCCTGCCCGCGGTTACTTCTGCATTGTGTAGACTTTTCTGCTGTCACCATAAGAATCATCACTTTTTGTTAGCAAAGACTGGTAATCAGTTATGTATACTTGTATGAAAATAAGGGAATGCAACATACTTCCATGTAATTGCATTTCTTGTGCCAGAGCCAAGGAGTTCAGTTTTAGGCACATACAGGAACATTAAATACAAAAACCTAATAGGATATTTATCAAATTATGGGATTTCAATAAAGTGTCCCTGCTTTGCTATGAATCTCTGAAAAATCACGTCCTTGCAGGAAATCTCTATGCACTCAAATTATCCGCAATTAGTTGCTCAAGGAATTCTAGTTTTAGAGGCCTATATAGCGACAGCAAGAAACATCCTCTCATGAAGTTTCTCCTCACTAAAAGACACCAGGTTCTCAGTGGACAGAAACTATGCCCCAATAAGTGCTGTAGAAGCACAGTGGTGTAAGACTGCAGCAGCGAAACAGAGGTTGTGTGACGGATATCAGCTAGACCAAGACAAGTCCTGGTAGGAATAAGGTTAGCATACAAGAATTTGGCAACCATAGGAAGAGAGGAGATAAAGTGATACTATGAGCACTATTTTGGTCACACAACCCAATATATATGCTGAAAAACTAATGGTTTACATAGCAAAACAGTACTAAATATGATTCTCACAAAAAAAAAAATAAAATTATGAGACACTGACTCCAGAATATGAGAAATCATAAGCTATGTTATATGAAATGTGCATCTTTTAGGCAAACACAGTCATGAGTCACTATGATTCTTACAGTGACAAAGTGCAAATAATTTAAAGAAAGACAGCGAGTACATAAAGGAATCAATTTGCGAGGGAAAATAAATCAGACAAATTTCACATATTACTTTTCTTGTTACTAAGTAATGGAAGATATTTTAACAGTCTGTACGTAAGTGAAGGATGTAAATATAAAGGAGGTAAAAAGAATCAGTTGGGACAGTATATAAAAGTATAAATAAAACTTTATGAAAAGATTACACGAAGCAAGACAGAACATTAAGAGTAAGTATCTAGGAAAAAAGCATCTTATCACCAAAATATATATTTTGTCAGACAACAAAGTTCCTAAAAAAATTAGTGAAAATACATTAGCTGGCCAATTTAAAATTAGCCTGGAAAATACATTAATATATGCTCCTTACATGCAACAACACTGATCTTACACTATCAGGGAATGAAGTAGAAAGTTTAATGATTTATTTTGGTTCACAATTTTTATGAAGGCAGCTGTTATAAAAAACAATGCTGTAATTTACACTGAGGATAGCTATGTGTCAAACTTTAAAAATCTCATTACATGTTTGGAAAAGCTGAAAAATAAGTGTATGTATTTGGCCAAATATATTCTACGTATTATATCTCCTCTATCTAATATTACCATGCCGCTACAGCACAATTGCCTTGCAAGGCACTTCCTAGAAGTTGCTGCTTTGCATTTGTTCCAGCTTATTACCTGAATTTCAAAAATGAGTGTAATAGATGTCTCAAATTAAAGAAGTCTTGGTTCATAACTGGAAACAATTGATTTTTGAATAGGTAACTACAGTCCTTCTTAATAAAATACAAAAATGTAAAAATACATCCTGCAATCACATCATCAAATTCTAAATACCTGAATAATTAATGCAGTCAGTTGAGTTACTGATGCCTGGCATCCTTCAATGTGATCCAGAAGAAAGCTGATAGTTGGATTCTGACATGTATTCTCTTTATCTTGGAGCTGTCTTCTTCCTTCTTCATTCAAAAGGACAGAGAGGAACTGTAAACTAGTCACACATAATGGATGTGTGGTTGACAGATGAATACAATCACAAATGTTATCTGAAAGGTTAAACAGAAAAATACAGAATTTTATATTTCATTCTGAATAAAGCTTAAGTGCTTTGGAATTCAGAAAGACTTATCAAAAGAAAGCATGTAAGCCAAGAAACAGTTATACCTGTTCACTGCACAAGGAACTTATAAATTCTACGCATTTGACAAGTCTTTAAAAATCTAAGGAAGAAAAATTTGGGGTTTATAACATTCAAATGAACTAATTCGCCTGCATTGATTTTACTATAAAACAAGAACAAAAAAAAAAAAACACCCACCCCAGTTTCAATTTGCTATATCACTCATTCATTCAGTAATTTTCTGAACTCTTCTCACTTTATTCAGCAGCTTACATTATAATGCCAACAGTACCCATCAGCTGCTTTGTGTGTAATTGGATTTGGATTCACCAGATCACTTAACATGCAACTGCCTGAAGTCACAAGCTTGAATGGACTATGCTCATAATTCAGTACTGAAACATGTCAGAGAATCTTGGTGACCTAGAGCCCTGACTAGGCAAGTAACTAATGAAGAAACAATTGAAAAAACCCAAAGAACAAAACAAACAAACAAACAAACAAAAAAACACACAAAAACCCCAAAAAACAAACAAACCAAAAAGCACAAAAAAACCCCAACAACTCCCCTTATAATAAACTTTAAAAAAAAAACAAAAACAAGCAAACAAACAAAAAAACCCAACATAACATATAAGGAAAAAAATGAAGTGCTAATGGATTATTTCAGGCTTTACTCAGAGGTGCCACATTTGATTAAGATTTACAGTTAGAATCACTAACCCATATATGCAAACAGAACTTGTGAATTTATCTGACAGTTCAAAGGTTAGTCTGATGAGATCAGAAAGAGTTGTAAAAATCCAGTTAAGGGAAAAAGTTAGTCAACCTCCAGACACATCTGGTTTTCATTTTGTATATGTCATTGCTAATTACTTAATAGCATCTAAACAGGAATGTCCCTCTTTTCTGTTTCTTTATTTTATTAGTTGCTAGGTTAAAACCCATCCAGGAATAGTCATTACCAATTATTGCTGTACAATGATTTGCAAGGGCTGCTGTCACAGATGGAAAAGATATTTGGCCACTCTTCCACAATAATGTAATTAGAAGGCTGAAAAAGTCTACCCATGTTTCATGAAGCACAGACGTTAACTCAGTATCTGCAAAGATAATAGGGAGGGGAAAAGTCAAACCATTCACATGTGTGCACAAACCCGGACAGCTAAGCCTGACAACAACTACTAGTTTAAATTAAGGTGGTATGTAAATAAAGACCTGACTCTGGCTACACTGGGAACAAAGTGCTTCATTACCTAATCCATCTTTCGAGCGAATGGCGAGAATTGTAAAGATATTTCCCAAGAAAGGTTTCAACACTTCATCCTGGATTACAAGCTGAGAGTCCACCAATAAACATGATTTCAGAAGCCTGGACACAGATGACAAGTATTGAAGTTGTAATAATACCTGTTAAATATTTGTAAAAATATATGAAATAAAGACACATAGTTGCACCTTCCACTTTTTTTTTTTTTTTTTTAATTTAAATACATCACCTCAACTGGCTCGTAACATTTTGAATAAATATATACAACTTATAAGAAATAATAGGATACTAATTAAAATTGTTCCCCTAATTTTTATTGTAGAAGATGAAACAGAATCCCTAGTCTGGAAACACATGTGTGAAATCAATTTTCTAGTGATTAAGAATAAAGTTCCTCGAGAAAAAGTTGTAATTCATTATATGTACAGCATCATATTCTCTGGAAGCTCCCAAAGAAAAACTTAAAAGTGGTCATTAATATTGATAAATACATATATTTCCTGAAAACAAACTCAATTTGAAGCTTTAGGAAAAAAAAATATTCCTGATACATTTATTTATTCTCCCAAGATTTCTGCAGAAACACATTTTCTTAACAATCTGTGTATCTTTCTTCAAAGTAAATCTGAATCCAGAGCAGTACAAGCTTTAAAATATTGCTCAGCCATGAACATAGTATATTCTATATGTTATATACAGAGAGTTAAAATTGATACAAAAGTAGTTCCATTGGCAGTAACCCTATATGCTTTGCATACATCAAAATTAGTTGAGAACTATGTGTCTGCAGGACTGAAGACAAAGCAAAGCTACCTGTTTTGTTGCAAAAAATAAATATGAAATGTGTCAGTAACTATCTGGCTCATATTTTAATACTGTTCAAAGAAATTCTATTATATGATTTCTGTAACCACTAAACTCAATTTGTATTTTTCAAACACGGGTTTTCAGTTTGATGGTTCTATGTATAGTTCTAACACAAAAATTAATTGTTCTGTGTTAAATAAAACACGGTTTATTTTCTCTTAAACTTTGTCAAAAGCACAGATTCACATGAAGGTAGCCTATAGCAGTGTGTCTGGACTATGATAATGAGTATAGATTATGCAAACATAATTATTTTCAAAATTTAAAAAAAATAGAAAGTAACAAACAGTTCTCTAACCTGAGCTTTTACATGTTCTACATGGCAAGGATGACCCAAAGGAGCTTTCACTTCCAAGATACATCTCTCAACCAGATTAGCACTTACAAGACTAAAATAAAATAAAGTTGGTTAGAAATATACTTAAATAATTAAACACTCTACTAATTTAATGTTACATAGAAGAGAACATTTTAAACCAAAAGTTAAAAAAATTATGAAGCACTTTTTTAAAATAGTGGGGTTTAGCAGTAAGTCTATTCAATGGCAACTGTAGTAGCAGTGAGTTGTTTCAAAATAGACTAACAAATTCCAACGGCTGTTACTGCACCGTTAGACTGGGGGGATGGGGGGGTGGGGTATGTGTTTAATTGTTGGGGGTTTTCTTTTCATTAATTGCAGTATGAAGAGCAACAACAAAAGCTCTTAAAAACCTTAAGAAAAACTGAACTAATTTTCATTCTTCACTTCAGGTCTTCCAAACACTTTGTACAGATGAAAGAATTTGTTACTATGCAAATGGAAACATGAAATACAATCTGAAGACTATTTTGAAGTGGTTCCTTCTTTAAAAAAAGAAACAAAACACCAAGGTTTATCATCCAATACTTTCCAAATATGGCAAGCATTCTTTACTCTTCTTTTAGTGAGACAGACAGACCCCAAAATACTGCATACAATTTAAAGAAGAAAATCATAAAAAGAACTGAAAAGAACTGCAATTCTGAATACCTATGTCATCTATTGTTCTACTAAAGAAAAAAAAAATTATCCCTCCAAAAAGGATGACTAAATGGCTCTCTAGACAAAAACCTAAAACATTACCAGAGGAATACAGAAGTCCTACAGAAGACAGACACCACAAATAGAATCTCCAATATGACTACCTTTTCTGCAACAAAAAGAAGTAATACAGACTCTTTTTTGTTGATTGTATTTTTTTTAAGGCATTTTTGGACCCTTCAGAAGCAAGAAGTGATCAGCATAATACTTTTGATAAGAAACACTGGTAGATCTCATTTCAAACTTTTCACCTCTACTGCTACACCTTGTTTATAGTTCAGCAGTTATTTACTGATGTCATACCTGCTGAGAGCTGTTAGCAAATGTGCCTCTTGAAGAGCAATTCCAGTATCTTCTGGAGTGACAACCAGCAGGTTGTGCAGAAGGCTGCAAACAGCTGACAAAAGAGCAGGTGTGACTACAGCCCACTGTTTAGAAAGGGCAGCAGACATGGGAGAATCACGTTGACTTGGAGATTCTGTTGTGGTTGTATCGCTTTGACCTAGAATGCATTTAATAATAATGCAAAACAAAACAAAAAAAAAAAAAAAAAAAAAAGGAAAAACAACAGATTTGTTAGAGCAGTTACATAAAACAAATTGCTTTTTATTTTTCATAAAACATCCGATTTCCCTTTACATTTAAAAGGTGTATTCTGAAGAAGATAAACAAAATAAAACCAAAAGAAGAAAAGAAAACAACAAAGAAATCAGATACAGGAAATGCATTATTTAAAATAGTCCTGAAATAAAATGTTCATTCTACAAGGCACTAATAATTGTTAAAGATACATGGTAAATTTGGAAAGATGTATTTTCACTTCCTTCCTCCACAGAAAGGTGTTTTCTATTTGTACACAGATGTCTCTACATACATTATTTTATATATTTATTTTTTTCTACATTACACACAGTTTTACCTATCTACATATATAGAGAATTATATATACATCTCTCTATGTGTGCACATATGTACAGGACAGCTTTACCAAAATTGATTGTTTTGAAAAGGTGACTGGATGCCAGAATTAGAATTTAAATGTTGAGTGACATTTCAAGCAGTATCAACCATTTTTACTTATTTTTGTCAAATATTTCACCCTTATTTCATTTTAAAGGCAGCATTTCATGTTTGTCTTCTAAAACAACCACTAGAAGAATCAATGGTCATTGTTCCAGCAATACACAAGCTCCATATGCATGTACAAATACTGGAATATGGGCAGGCTAATGCATCATATTCATCATTAGGTACCACAGCCAAAGTTTGACTTACCTTGTGCCATAAGCCGATCAACTACAGTTTCAGGAATAAAACTGACTGAATTTGTTGGAACTGTTGCCTGAAGCTCAGTAACAGTCCCCAGTGTTGGTGACATAGACAGAATCTAGAAAGCCATAAAAAGGAAATTAGTTGATTCCAGCTTTTACAAGAGCAGACTTCTATTTATATTTTGCTTGGGGTGCAGGGGGAACCACGCCATGACAGGACCCAGTAAAACCAAAACATGATGTAAAAATTACTGTTCAGAACCAATTTGATTACATTTTGTTCCTTATATGTGTGTATATGTATATACACATTCTATAAATATCTAGTAACTGAAACTATTGAAAGATGTTTCGGGCTGTTCATATTTCACATTTCAGTTAAAAACTGATCAATGGTCATGTTACTGAAAATTCCTCTTCTTCATCCCTCTTTCATCCATATAATTGACTCAATCTACATTTGGATAAAGATAGAAAGGCATTACTGAAGCATTTAAACTCAATTTTTTCATGGACTATTTGCCCTACTGAGAACATCAGCACTTGTCCATCTGTAACAGGACATGCTCAGATAAAAATATCACAAGCGCATTAGTCATCAGCCAAAGTTGACATTCCAGAGACTTTCTGACTCTGGGTACTTCTCTTAATCTTAGGTCAATCTGTATTCATTTCATAGTGAAGATATATTTACACAATAGTACATTCTACTGTCATACTACCATGCTCCTCCTACCAGTTTTACATTATCTATCATGTTATTAATTTTGCATGATTTCAAAGTTCTTAATGTTCTTGCTACTGTGTTTAAAACCATAAGCTTGAGATCAGGAGACCTAGAGTCTCCAGCTTAATACATGCTTTTGTGACACAATGAGACCCGTGACCTGTTTCAAGAGTATAGGATAAATGTCTCCCATGTCAGGTCACTTTTTCATTTCCATTTTTTTGGTTTTCTAGCTGTACAATTCACATTACAAAAGCTTTCTTCAAGAATGTCACTATATAGCGTAAAGAATACAGAATGCTGGGGAATCCAGCGAGCTTGAAGGAGGATGGCGTTAGACAGCAAACTTCCTAAGGAAGACCAAAATATTTCAAATGTTTTCTTTTCCAAGTTCTATTAGAAAATCAGTTGGAATATTATTTTTTTTTTTACCTAAAAGAAAGTCAAAAGTGACTTAATTGACAAAAAACTGTGGAGGGAAGGAAATCACAGATTACTCCCTTCCTAGCTATTGTATCCTTGCAGTTAGGTCACTGCTTTCCAGCTTTGACTTACTCAGCAGCATTTTGAGCTACAGGAAGAGTCAGCTTTAGGCTTTTCTCATCTCCTAGAAGGTTTAACCCTACCTCCCACTCCCTATCACTTTCAAATGTTGTTTGTTAGGTTTCTATCAGCACGTCTTTACTTGAGACCACAGTGCCTACATGAGCTAAAGGTTGCCATCTCCATGCTGTAACTCCCTTCTCTCCCCTATTTTTCCTCTTGTCTCCCATTATTGTCCATCCTACAGTCCTGAATCTTGTTCCTCAAGCATGCTCAATTGTTCCTTAAAAAAGACAGATTACTGTAACACAGAAAACAAGCTATAGTAAGATGTGGGGTGCATGTCTGGATCCCAGGATTCGCATATAGCCTGGGTCACAGAAACACTAGGACGTTTGGCTAAATAGTTTTCTAGTTAGTAAAATGCAGAACCAAATTGTACCAATGAACTTAAATTCAAATTCTGGTCAGATTATGCAAATAAAATTATATTTGCTAATTGAAATAAATTATTTAAAGTTCCATGCTTGCTGATTTAAATAATTATTAAAATCCATATTAAATCAACCTTGACACATGATAAACTCTGCACTTATTCAGGAATATACTTCAATTCCAAGCATTCTAGTAAGTGACAAAAACCAACTCTTTCTTAAAAAGTACAAACCCCAAATGCAACTTCTAACAGTCCATATGGTTCTTCTGCAATAAGCAAAGCACTAAAAGGAATTATTACTACACCGAAAGTAATTTTGAATATATTATTATGTATTATATAAGCTTTCGTGTATTAATAAATAGTATCACCTACATTACACAATTCTTTCTCACCTTTTACAGAAGTGTAAGCACTTTGGGCAAAGAAATAAAAAACAAGCTCTTGGATATGTTAAAAAAAATTCAATAAATGCTTTATCTAGTTAGAATAATATCAGCTTTCTGCACTGACAGAACATTTATTGGTAATTGTTTCACAGTAGGACATGTGTTAAAACCAGAAATTTTCTGCTATCTTAACAGAAGAGACATAGTAGCACAATGAAGTTGTTTCCACAATGTTCTGCCCTCCAGGAGAGAAAAGATATTACAACTTTTATAAATCCCTTTGATAAGGATGAACTGGGAGTCTGGGACATTGCATCTAGTAAAGGATATTTTCTATTGCCACCATATTCTTTCTGGGAGCAATGCAGCAAACAACAGACTTTTGAAGGGGGTTTAACTGAAGAATAGAAAGGGTTGTGTGGGGGGGGGGAGATGAGGAATGCAGATTAGAACTAATACAAAAATTGTCTGAATGGAAACACAGGAGAAATGTGAGGGTTTTGCCATTTATCTAACACTTATGAATAAAAGGTCTTTTCTTAACCTCTAGTATAAAAATCCCTCTGGCATTGCTTTAATAGGCTTGCAGTGATTAATTCTATTCAGTTCTATTTTCAAAGGTTTAAATCACTTAACTGTATAGCAGTCTGGTAACCATGGTTCCAGAAAATAAAGCACACATTTTTGTAAAATAGCAAGAAGATTTCACAGGAAAGAGTCGCCATGACTTAACACTATCTGGGAAATGTCTGTAGATCTTTAACCTGCACCATTTTTAGCTCAAGTTTTTAAATAACTGCTCAGTTTGCTAAGCCGACCAGGGCACAGCACAGCCCTAGTGTATTTATGCATTGTGAAGCAAGTTAGTATATCTATGCTGATTGGTGTTCTCAGTCACACGTAGTAAGCACAAACCAAACATGTTGGTTGCAACAGGAATAAAGATTTGTCCTCTGTAATGATAACCTGAGTTAACATTTAAACTATGAATTCCATAGATTTTTAATCTCAGAACTGGACATTCTGCGGTATCCACATTCCAGTTCGCAGAAAAACAAATACAAATTTGATAAAAATCTTTAATCCTCTGAGATCTTAAAGACACTAAATATAGTGCACAGTTAACAGCTAACAGAGCAGCACTGCTGCTGTCTTTTACATGACCTTGAAACATTGATTTCATCCTCACATTGCTATGCTTTTCTCTATAAAATGGGCAAAAGTGTACTTACGGCCTCTGCAAGACCTCTGAAAGACTATTTTATACACTAAATTTAAAAAAAAAAAAAAGTTCCCTGTTATTAATATATCTGCTTTTTAATTTTCTCAATTTTATTTTCTGCAAATTTGAGGATGGGAAAAAAAAAGATGAAGCCAAAAAGTAATTTAGATTTTTATTTTCACTTAAGATCACATGAACACTGTGTGAAATCAGCCTTTGATAGCAGATAGCTCAAAGTATTGATTACATGAAAACTGAAAACAGAGGAGAACTAACAGTGTCTTTTTCTTTTTGTCCAAACTGTTTTCAAATATAAAAAACAAAAGCGAACAACAAAAAAATATGCAGACCTTTTCACAGAAAAAAAATTCACGTAATTCAGTAAAAAGACATCACTATTGCTTCTCCAAATACATTCAGGATACGGCTTACTGAAGAAAAAAGCAGTTTCAGCTTCCTAGACTGACATTCACAAAATGGATATGGACATACTTAGAATTACTTTTAAAAAAAAATAAATATTTAAATATCATAGAAGATCTTCTCATAGAAACAATTCTACTTGGTTTGATAGCTGGTATCTCTCAATTATTTGTGCATGTTGACCACAAAAAGCCTAACATTTTTCCCTTCAATAAGACCTGCCGACTCCCTTCCATCTGCGATGGGGAAAGCATGCCATCTAGTGGGCTTGGAATAAGTACATCTTGCTACCATCAATATACAAAACTACAAACTTTTGGTGTGACTTCATACATGTATTTCTTTTTTTTTTTCATACATCAAAATGGAAAACTTTGGGCCAAACTGTAGGAACATAAAATTTAAATTTAGTTAGGAATAAATTGTGAATGCCTGACTTAAGGACAATTTTGAGATTTTAAAGGTATTTCCAAACTTTACTAGAAAGACAGTTAATAGTCATTAACAGCCCTCCGAAATACAGTTTGTACTTAGCCTCAGTTCTCTTCTTCCATCTTTCTTCTCGGAGTTCATATTGGCATTTGAACATCAGACCCCTGCATCTTACAATCTGTCATGTCAGCAATGTATTTTATTATAGAAATTTAGTGAAAACAAGAATTTAGAGCTGCTAAAATGGTCCATGAAGGACAAATGGAAATTAACTTCTATAAATGACAAGCAAAGTTTTTATGTGAAATTTTCATATGTATCAGGGGAAGACGGAGAAGAAAACAAAACCCACACTTGAATAAAATTCTCTTACATTAGCTGTAAGAGCATAATCTTAGCAAATACGAAGTCTCAACATCTGGAAGACTGACACGAATGAGCGTATCTTAGTATTACATTGAGTTTTCCACTTTAATTAGTTGCCCTTTGTTAAATAGAATGGTAGTGCTACGCCTTTACGTTAAACTATGGTGCTACTTTACACATACAAATACAAATTTGGTCTAGTAGATTCAAATTATTTTTTCACTTTTTCTGCTTAAGCAATTTCATGTAATGAACTCTTCATGAGAACTCAAGCACAATTTTAAGATTAGACACTCAACCCTGATGAATTGATGAAATTTATGTTTCACTCAAGTAACATGAACCAAAGACAAAATTTTTTCAACTTTTATTCCTATAAGAAAGTGGCACTTAATTTATTCATTAAAAAGCAAATTGGAAACAATTGCTTTTAAACAACCTGAGGTTTTTGTAAATGTTTTTAGAGCGCTATTCCTGTTAGCATCTACTTCCTGATTTGCATGCATTTTCATTTATTTTCATTTCAAATATTCAAATTTGAATATTTGTGTTTAAAGGAACCCCAAGCATCTTCTGGGCCGTTTGGGTTCTTTAGATAACTGAAAATCAAAATAATTAATACAATTTCTGAAAAAGAGAAATTTTAGCTTAAAACTAGAGTACAACTTTTCCTCAATTACTAAAAACATGCCAGATAGCAGTCACAGTACTAGACAGCAATAAATTTATAAAAGAGAATGGTAAAGAAAAATTATAATTGCAAAATATTTTGAGACAAAACTCCAACACTGGCTTTCCTATATTTTTATTTTTGTCACAATCCACAGGAAAACTGAGCATAAAAATTTTAGTCAATAAAATAAGATAGCACCCTGTGCTTTATCAGTCTTTGGCATATAGGCACATCTGTTTAACAGAAAAACTTCTGAGCTATGACATTATGGCTTTCATATTACATTAGATGGTCTTTCATAAATCAAAGATTTTTGAAGAAAAAATTAAAATGGATTTTCAGTGCAACATGTCAGAGTTTTCTTAGTTATGCTGCAGTCTGTGAAAATATATGATCTTTATCACGTAACTAACGAATGTTATAAAAGCTTCCTCCACAGCCTGATCTAATATTGCAAATCTACTCTGGAAGTGGAAGAATGTATTTCAATTTCTCTTCCTTTGCATCTGCCATCTTGAAAGACAGCATATGTTTATAGCTTTTCATTGCAATAATCATCCTAGCCAGAAACAAATTTTTCAAGCAGCCACCTGCTTTCTTGTATTTTTCATGTCTATTTTGGGTCTTGCAAACACTTGTGCCACTGTTACATTCCATAAAAGCAGTTTCAGAATCCAGAGTTTATTGTGACACAGAATATAATTTTAACCTAATACACTTATGTGGTTTTGACTGATCCAGTTTTGTAGCTGTGTAGTGTAAATATGGGTTCACTCTGAAAGGACAGTTAGGATAAAAGCAGTGGAAGTGACAGCTATAGATGGAGATGACTGTATTTTGTCAATAAAGCAAATTACAAAGTAATCTCTAGAGAATATGTCTTGCTGTGAGAAGCTACAGAATTCAGCACTGCCTTATGCATTTCACTAGTCAAGGTAAGCTATTTTATTTATTTTTGCTCAGGTAAATAACAATAAAAGTTTTCTTCAATACATTAAATCTACTTCAAAGTAAATTTCAATTTAGTTTCAGCTTTTAAATTTTCAGTTTAATTTCAGCTGGGTTTTTTTTCAGCTGGGCTTCTATAGCATTTGTAAAAGTACTAAGTTTCTTCAAAGCATTTCATGAACAACTTGAAATATAAAATTAATATATTGCTCTGCAAGTTACCATCGTTTCAGATGTTGACTGAGAATGTGAAGACTGGCTTTGACTGGATGGAGCCTTCCAAAGATTAAGAGAATCATCAAAATCTGTAGTAAAAAAAAAGAATTTAAAAAAAAAAAAAAAAATCAAACAAAAAAGGTGTTTTTTTTCATTCCTAAAAGACCTGCAGAGAGCATTACAAGATTTTCAGAGGACTGTTTCAGTGAAACAGAAAAGTAGCCAACCACAGTTATATTCTGAGAATGATAAATTTTCACACATTGTACCTATGAATTCTTATCCAAGAAATCCCTTCAATAAGCTGGACTTAAATATAATACAATTTTCAGTGCTACAAAATAGTCTGGAAAAATATACACTTAACTCAAGCAGTTGCATACACTTTAGTAATTTGAAATAGTTCAGATTTAGTTTTATTTAAAATGTAATAGTACTAAAGTATTGAAGATACTGGGGTGTCACAGCACAAACATAATTAACAGATGTCCATGTCTTAAAAAAACCCTTCAAATTCACATTTTAAAAGAAGCAGTTTCAAGAGAACCCACGGGGGGTTGGAACTAGATGATCTTAGGGTCTTTTCCAACCCTAGCTATTCTATGATACTATGATAATGAAGACAGAATTACTTTGTAGATCTGTTTCAGAATAAAAAGAGCCAAAAATAGCACTAACCTGTCAATAGTAGGTTGAGGCTTTCATATATTTAGAAAAAACCCAATGAATAAAGCACTAGATTATACAGATTCTGAATGCAAAACCCACAAAAGTAGAAATCCTATACATATCTTAGCTAATTACTAAACTGAACTAATTTTATTCTCTAACTTTAACTTTGCAGATGGATTTTATTTTTGTACTCCTGCAAAATGTGAGGAAAATACACTGGGAAAAACACGACAAAAATGGGTTTAGCAAGATAAACCAAAGCAAGATCTTCTATTAAGAGATAAGGGACCTATTAAAAAGCAAAAAAAGGTCATTATAGATAAACACCACAATTCTGAACATATGAATAGAGGACTCATAAGCCTTTCAAGCACTACAGTTTTAGAGATGGAGCAAACATTATCCTGTCCTCCCTTTTTTTAAATAATAAAAAAAAAAAACCAAACTGTATCTTGTTCCTGAAATATCATAGATTATTCTCCCCCTTCATTTCAAAGCTCCTGGAAAAATCTTTTTTTTTTTTTTTTTTTTTTTTGGCTTTGCTTTTCAACAACCTAATAAAACAACTCTCAACTGCTCACTGAAAAGTTCTACAATCCTGGAGTTTGAGTTGCTTTCAGATACGATATTGCATCAGATACCACAACTACCAAGAGGCACAAATACAACAAGCATGGAAGGAGCAAAATGTGTTGGATTGAAAAAAAATTACACTTGCAGATAAATAAAGCAGCCACAGAGGAAATTGAGGACTTTTATGGCTGCATTTTGTATACTGCTAAGGTAAGCCTCTGAAAATCAGACAGATAACCAATAATATTAATTTTCCTTGGGTCTGTCAAAGTCATAACTTGGTAGGGGAAATAACATTCCTCTTCTGTTCATGTTTCTGTAAATAAATTTAACAGAAGCAGGCCTACAAGAACTGTTTAAATCTGTTACCTTAGAAGATGGAAATACAAAAACTTAGGCACACATAAAAGTAAGAAACCAAGAAGAAGAATTAACTTACTGATTTTCCCTCCCTTGAACAGTTTTTACTAATTGAGCTCTCTGAAGAATTTCCTAGCTTTCTAAACTTAAGATCATAACGCATATTTGGACAGAAATGCTGGTTCCCACAATGCATCATAGTAAGACTTAGAAATATTGTTCAGAAAACAATTAAGCAATATTAAAAATTAGATCAGAGATACTCCAGGCATACAGGTGAAAAAAAAAAAAAAAAAAAACAAAAACCCAAAACCAAAAAAAAAAAACCAAAAAACCCCCAACAATCTGAGTATTAGATTTTTTTCAGTCTACAAATTAAATATCTGATGTCTTAGAATGCAGCTAACTTCAACATATAAGAGCCAACTCCTACTCATGCATCTTTGATGTTGAACACATCAAGAAACACGAGTCTTAGAAACAGTCCATGTATCTTTTTCTAAACTTTCATTGTATTGATCTGTCAAAGTCATAACTTTAAAAAGTATTTTGCCAACAGTATTTTGCAAGAAATTATACTGCGGAACCAACTGCATCTTTTCTATTTATAACTTTTTGATGATGTAGGTTACAGCTCAGAGCTTTTTCTGCAGTATGTTAGAACTAGTGGCTTATCCACCACTTAAATCCTCAGGCAATATTTTTCTTAATGTATTTAAGGGCATGGCTTGAATATTCATTTTTGGTTCCATTTTTAGTAAGAATTTTTTGAGGTAAGTTACTCATAACTAGAAATTATTTACGTAGGTTTAAAATACTACAAGATTACATTAACATCACTTACCAGTTATATCATCTTTTTTTATGATGAGGTTGTCTTCCTTGGAAGAATTCAAATCAAACATGTAACATCCTAGGTAACAGTGTTTCACCATCTGCTTCACATGCTCATAGAACTGGCAGTGATACAAAAGGGCCTTGAGTGCAGGTTTTCCTGTCTGAGAGAGGCCAGATTCTTCATCATGTACACATGGACCCTGAAGACACAAAATTCACAGACATGATTTCTTTAAATGAATGTTTTACATAAAAACTGTCCAAAAAACCCCAAATTAAACCTAATACTGTGTGTGAGTGCATATGCATATACATATACATAGCTGCTTTACAGGCTTTAACTAATAGATTCCAAAAACCAAATGTAGATTTTACGAAGGCTGAGTTAAATTATAAGATATTACAAAAACTGTAATATTTTAGCAAAATGTAAGTAGCTATTTAGCTCCTATGAAATTTATTAACAGCTAAATAGAAAGTGATGGAAAGCTGTAAATGGGTGGTTTTAAGACTGTGTATGTATCAGGACACTTTATAATTTTACTTTCTTATTTAATTCTACTTACAGATACCAAATAGTGCAAAACTTTTCCTTAGAAAAAGAGCATAGTCATACTAAGATAAGAGTAAATATCCTGAAAAGGTCAGCCTGTTCTAAAATATACTGCCATTATACTACAACTAGCTGTGTCAATCTACTATGATAAAAGATTTATTTAGAAAACAAGACATGAAAAGAAAGAACTTCTCTTTGAAGAATGGTTTTCAGTCATTTCTTTTTAAATACTGACTTCAGGGAAAACTTTCTAGAGCAGTGGATTTATACATGAAAAGAAAGACTTCATAGTTTTATTTCAAATAAACAGCTTGCTTTGACTGTTTTCGTTACAGTATTTCTATGGCAACAGAAGACAACACGAAGTTTTATTCAGCTACAAGATAACCTCTTTCCAACTGACCATAAAAATTAGAAGTAATAATTGCAAAAAGAACCCAGACTGAGAAAAATTCAAACCAATTTCATTCTGCAAGGCAGTTTTAGGTGGCTTCTTGCAGTACTTCATGAACAAACTAGTTAGAACTATGGAAAGAAAATTCATGACTGGGAATTAGAAAATTTCTTTGGTAGTTAGGAGAGAGCAGAGATAGATCAACTGCAAATAAGTAATTTGAAAAACACTATTTGTCCCCAAGAGCCTCTAAATCTCCCCCATCCCCTCCATTTACACTGAGCACAAGCTTACTTTCTAAGAAAACAAAACAAAAAACAGATCAAGTAGAAGCAGTAAAACTAATTTGTGTCACATCATAAATTATAACCAGAGGTTTAGATAGCTGCTGCTCATTCTGCTCGGTTTCTGTTATACAGAAACTGCTTTCCTGATTTGCATTTTATGTCAATTAATAGAGAATCAGATATGACTGTTTGAAGAAGGTAGCATTTCATGTAAGCTGTTTATGATGAATTATAAAACAGTAGTCATACATACATGTCATCAATATGATTAGACTGTATCAACTATGACAAATGCATACTTTGGAAACTTTTTACCCAGCACAGTCTTTGCCAGTTTAAAAAGCTGTGGCAGATACCGTATTATACAACAGGGGCCCTTGAAGAGTTACATTTATAACAAGTGCTCTAACTTCAGCAATCTTCATACAACACAGTATGCTGCAGAATGCTGTGTAAATGCTGTGTAAAGTTAACTTTACCCATGACAAAAAATTTCCTATGTCACTTTTTAAAGTAACATAGCAAAATGAATTATCAACTAGGTATAAGGAACACTACAGACATTCCTGTGGAGATACAACGTATTTATAGTCTTTCCTTTTCCTATTTACCTGAGAAATATAAATGATGACATTCTACTTTGGGTATGGTACATGGTTCCTATTATTCACCTAGATTCATTTAATAGCTCTCCTTTGAACTCGCATGCAGTCATGGCAACAGATGAAACATTTTACTCATTGCAAAGGAAAAAAAACCCCTCTGAAATACAGAATTTTATTTTGGTATCTTGTATCTTACAATTTTAAGTGTCTGTATTTTCAACAGTTTTAATTTACCAGTTACCATAAAGTGCTATTTGATAACATCTTTCAGCATGAACACTTATTAAACAGAATTAGCAAAAAAAAAAAAAAAAAAAAAAAAAAAAAAAAAAAATCTTCTTCCCTGTGAGAGTAGTCAAACCTTAGAACTAGCTGCCCAGAGAGACTGTACCCTTAGAGACACTCAAATCCCAACTGGACACAGCCCCAAGCAACCTGCTCTAGTTCACCCTGCTTTGAACAATGAGTTATGTTTTTAAGAAGCATTCAAAATTACCTAAGCAATCAGCTGCTTCATTTTATTTTGGAAAGGGTTGTTTCTCAACACTTTTTTTTTTCCTCCCCTCTCCAAAGCATTTTATAATCACCACATTCTCCGAATTTTATCTTCCTCATACCTGTCAAATCATACTGCATTTTAAGTGCAGGTTAAATAAATGACCAATTTCTATCCTAAATGTTAATGATACTACGTAAGTAAGTGAATTTCCTAGGAACCGAAAGATACTATACTCATGAAATACAACATACATAAAAAATACAACATATATAAAAAATAACCCTTTGTTTCTGTTCTCAAGCTTGCTAGAAGTTTGAAAGAAGTTTGTCTATTCATATGTTTTGCTTTCTGAAACGTCACCTTAGACATGTAATTCTTTAAGTTTATATTTTATAGGTTGTCGTGGTTTAAGCCCAGCCGGCAACTTGGCACCACGCAGCCGCTCGCTCACTCCCCTCCTTTTCCTTCCTCCCCCCGCTCCCGGACGGATGGGGAGGAGAATCGAAGGAATGTAACTCCCACGAGTTGAGATAACAGCTCTCCAGTAACTAAGGTATAATACAAACCACTACTGCTACCAATAATAATGATAAGAGGAATAACAAGGGAAAAGGACACAACCGCTCACCACCCGCCGACCGATACCCAGCCCGACCCGAGCAGCGATCTGGGCCTTGCAGCTAACTCCCCCCAGTTTATATACCGGGCATGACGTGCTGTGGTATGGAATACCCCTTTGGCCAGTTTGAGTCAGGTGTCCTGTCTCTGCTTCCTCCTGGCTTCCCCTCCTCTCTGGCAAAGCATGAGACTGAGAAAGTCCTTGGTCAGAGTAAACATTACTTAGCAACAACTAAAAACATCGGTGTTATCAGCATTGTTCCCAGACTGAAAGTCAAAAACACAGCACTGCACCAGCTACTAAGAAGGAGAAAAAATGACTGCTGTAGCTGAACCCAGGACATAGGTATACTGACATAAGTTTTTATATTGAGTAACATCTCTCTGTGACCTTTCTTCTCATGCAATGTTATAGTCACTCACTTGCCAAATACAATCTTTCATGTCTTCAGTAGGAAGTGGAATCACAAGGAGATTTTGTAGAATAAAAGCAGCCTGAAAGAAATGAAAGTATCATTATTGATATCTAGCCATCACAGTTCAAAAAAAAAAAAAAACCCCAAACAAAAAAAAGTGCATCAGATTGAACAGCAAATCTACATATTATTCCACTGCTTTAGAAATATGCTGAAATACAAAGAATTTTCATGTTCACGTTGGGGGGGGGGGGGGGGGGGGGGGGTGGAGATTAGAAGGATATAACCCAAAACCCTTCAAGCTTTACCTACAAGAGACGTCATTAGGGCATACAGTTTAATCACTGTTCCAGTACTGTCAACACTATTCAATTAGCAAAACAAGAAATCCTGGGAAAAAATTCCCACGCAGGAAAACATAACTGTTTATGACCCTTCACTCTACTGTCATTATGTTTTGTATTAATTGAGACAATTAATATACAGACACATAGGTTCCAAACAGCTTCCTTTCTCAATACATGGTATGGTTTTTTTGCTCATTTATATCACACACAGTTTGCATGTATATGTGGGTGGACTGCAACTGCTTATTTTATGTTTTGTCAATCTTTGGTCAATAATTTGACTCAACATACTACTGAAATTATTTGGAAGTTAAATAAAACAATCAAGTGTCCATTCTCAAAAGCATTTTGCACAAATAAATTCAAAATATTATTTTGGAAAATGTTATTAGTTGAGCAATCTGGGAAAAAAATAACCCATTATTTTTCACCATTGTTTTTTCTCAGTCATTGCAAACCAAGAAAAATATTACAACTAGAGTTGATAAAGTTGCAAAAAATGTGTACACAGCTTAAATATAGTATTATATAGTTCTATGTGTTATTCTGTTAGAGTACAGTGCCTAGACAAATTACTTCATTCTTGCAATGGTGAGATATTTATCTCAGATCAATTGATGAGTTCATACCAAACTGTACATAAATGGAACAAAACAGTCATTAAAACCTGGGCTAACTTGTTATGCTTTGGCAACCTGTTTATCTGCCTGAGTAAGCCTTAGGAGTTTTTATGCATTCCTTATATTATTTAGATCATTTCTGCTTTTACAGTAGTCATCTGTATTTGTTGCTTCTTGAGTAATTCTAAATAAGAAGCTAAACATTTAATTAGGTAGCATTTAACTTACAACGCAGTAGGTGTTGTGCAGCATCATAGAGCAGATATATAGAATAAAATATAGAATATAAAATATATAGAATAAAACATAAAAAAGAAAAAGATAAAAATCTTTTCTCCTTAATGAAAAAAACTACAAACTTGACAACAGAAGGACATAAGAAACATACCTCCCTGCGTACCATGCTACATTCAGACTGATCCAGAAGGATGTTTATCACTGTTCCCCACAGACCTCCTGAAATATTCTGGCAACTTTCTGCTAATGCTATACATCCTACTTCAAGAGATGTAAGAGCTGATCCTATTCCAAGTGCTGTAAATCTTACCTGGTACATACAAATGAAACACAAAGTGATATCTCTTACAGTAATTAGCAACACATTTTTTAAAAATTATTAAGTTGCAACAACTGAACTCAGAGCTTAATGGAATAATTTAAAAAGTAACAATCTTTTTTCCTATATTTCTATGGCCCTATACTCATCATCACAACTATGAGTAAGTAAAAGGCTGAATTAATAGAACAGCTTTTAAACATGTAAAAACAGTAAGTCTTCAATATTCTTTAAATTTTACCACTTAAAAATAGTTCCATTTAGCAAACTTGTAATTTAACAGATTTGCATCAAATACACTTGGCTCTAAATTTGTAGTTGATATAAATGTTTCTGCTTTGCAGCTAAGTAACAGCAATATCAATGAGAACTGTCTATGAATCATGATCACAAGTGACTAACGAAAGTATACAAGACAAAATGTAGGGAAGGATTTCTCAGAAGATATTTATATGGAAACATTCTCCCTACTTTACTGATACTGAAATTCAGTATATATAGTGAGTAACATTTTAAATAATGCAAACCAGTAGTTTCAATATTAAATAAATTGATGAAATAAAATTTTTGCAAATATATAAGGGTCAAAATAAGATATCAACTTCACATTGCATTAACTAACCTCAGGGTCTCTATCTACCCATAAAGGAACCAGCCATGCCAAACCTAGCTGAGAAAGAACTTGTTCTTCACTGTTATCATAAGGCAAAGACCAAAGAGATATCCAGTCCTGATTAGAAAACAGAAAATAAAGAAATTATTTTATAAATCTTTCAATACCATGCCAGCATACCCACAGTCTGAGCTGCCAAGCATACTAAAACACTTTATGCACACAGCACTGATATTCCTGGAAAGTTTTTGATTCTGCCTCTACTGAATAAAATTGGATTTGTGTCTCCTTCATAGAATTAGGACAGCAGTGCTAAAGGGAGATTAAATATACTGGGAAAATTATTTCCATTCAAAATTTACTCCATACATTTTTGATTTCTGCTCATTGTTAAAATCTGTCTTTCTGTCTTACACACGTGCAGAAAACTACTAAATAAGAACATGCAATTATTACTTCAATCACAATTTATTCTTTCTCTTCATGCATCTGCCACATGATTAAATAAAGTTTCTCAGACTACCACATACTAATTAGCTGCAGATTCCATGAAATCATACTTGACTTTGCAAATTAATTTTTTAGCTCAGTCTAAAAAAAAACCTCCATACCTGCCAAACACTCTCTTTAACCATGGCACTGCAAAAATGATGCATTAAGTTCATAATGAATTATGACACCTAAAATTTTATGTATTTGTATTCTGACCATCTCAGCCCTGTATAGTCATTATATGGTATAAGACTGATGTTTCATGTGGAGCAACGTATTTTGCTTGGATTTTCTCAATGCATGCAATATTAATTACAAAAAGCACACTATTTTAAAATCCTTTAATTTGGGGAGGGAGGATATTAAGATACAAAATGAAGTACAAACCATAGGTGCACAAAGCACAACCAATGAAACGTTACTATAGTAAACAAACAAAACATTCAGCAGGTCTAGTGCACCCTAAGCATATGCTCTATTTCTCAGGTACTACAAACATCTGTCCATCAGTACCACCTAAAGGATGTTATGTCTGATTTAATAAGGTGGTTCTTTTAACAACAAAGAACTAATGGTTCATAATACCACTAATGATCAAAAAATAATTCGCTTTAACTAGTTTTAGTTTCAAGTCATTAGACTGTGCATTTTAAGTTCGTAGTCATTTACTTTGTTTTAAATCACAGTTATCCAGTATACTCTGTATAACACTGCTTGCACAAAGAAGGGTAATTTTGTATTTTCTCCTTGCATAAGATTTGACACTGAACCACATGATTGTAAACAGCCAGGATTTAAAATCTTTTTGAGAATATAAATTATTAATACAGTCTAGACATTAACACTGCTGTACACACACAAGGTGTATGATTTACAGACACAAAAATGCCACCTGTTATTATGCTACTATACATGACCTAATTCTTTGGAGGCTACAGTCTTCCTGCAGCATACTTAATATTCTGTCCCTCAGCAATTTTAATGAACTCTATCAGCACTTAGTATTTTGAAGATACTAAGTAGTACAGAAATGAAGAAATAGATATCTGGATTTTGGAGAAGTGGGTATACTGCTTTTTCTAGTTACTGAATCAGTAGTGTTACTTGATCATATTGAAAGGTTTTCACCTGTGGCTATCACAGAAATAAATAAGAGTGGCTTTTAATTCTCAAAAATGATTACCCTAAATTGCTGAATTTGCTTTAACTGCTCCAGGATGAAGGCTATTTTTTATTAAACTCGCCAAAATTCAGCTCTCAACATATGAAAGTACAAGAGCAGATATGAATTTTGCTAATAGGTAGTAAGTCCTTTTATGAGACAATCATTCTTTCATGTATGTATATATTCTTTCATGTATGCATATATATACACATATATAGATACATGAAAGAATACACACATGTATAAACATGTTAGAAAGCCCATTATTTGTATGAGGCTGAATGATGTCAGAAGTCCTTAAATTTATTCATCCTACACAAAATCCTGATTTCTTATTTTTTTTATAAAAAGAAAATTCTATTTTATTCTCAAAGAAGGCGTTTCTAAATCCACAGAATTACTTGCAGAATAATTTCAGTGGGGCAAGAACTGAGTCTTCAGCTTTCCTATTCATTTATCTAACATTATACACCAAATGAGATTGAGTAGATTTTTTTTTTATTTTTACTATATTTTTTTTATTTTTACTCTGTTGCCATGTAAGACATCTTCCCCCACTACATATGAAAATCTCTGTTTGTAGCCCTCACAAATGACAAGGTAAGGGCAACTGTAAGGCACTCACCATATCCTTGGCTTGAGCCGTCATTTCATGAGATAAGTGAAGTAAGCAAAGAACTGTGCTTTTCGTAACACCTTTACCCATGAAGGACATAGCATTTCCTCCCCATTCAACATAAAACGATGAGATGACCTAGGAGTAGGGGTACAAGTTCATGGTAGACTTACTGTAAGCAGTATACAGGTACTGCTTACACTACTAAAATATAACTTAAACCCATGAAAAGATGGCAGTTTCAGCTGAATTATAAGAATTTATTTATTTGTCATTTGGTCATGTGATGGATTCCTATATGGTTACGCTTCTGAAAATCAGTGGTTTTTATTTGCTTCCCAAATGAAGAACACAGACAAGCTTAATAATAACCATAATATTAATAGAGGCCTGAGACTTTGTTTTTAATGTGAACAGCCCATCTATTGTACACAGATTTTAGTGCTATGTTTGGAATTAAAAATTTAATTTCTTTTCAAAATTCTGTGTTCATGAAGAAGGGTCATTTATATCTTTCATTCTGATTTGAACTAGAATAAAAATGTGTCAGCTCTGTATATCAAATTCTAAGCAATAAAGGTCACTGGATCATAAAGTAAAATAAATTCTCTGACTAAGTATCTCCATATACGTTAAAATAAAAGAATGCTGCTTTCAATGAAAAATGACCCAAAATATTTTACTAAAATCATAATCTTAAGGCTTATACTTCTCAATGTATTCTTTTCTCCCCAGAACATGGCAATTTAAACATCTCCATTTTTGATGCTGTTCTTTCTTTCAGTGGCCCACTGTACAGAAATTCTTTCAGTCCCACTTTCTCCGCTTCTCCAAAAAGACCTACGATTACTTTTATATTTAAGCCAAGTAAAACTGCATAATTCTTCTGCACACAGAGCTTATGCATTACTAGTTGATTTCACTCCATAATATTCATTAGGATTTTGTCCAGTAATAATCTTTTTTTTGTGTAACAACATCTATAACCTTGATGCCATTTTTAGTCTAGACTTCAAATCTCAAAACTCATCTAATCAAACAGTTCTAAAACATATATATCTACTCAAGGAAATCTTGGCAAGTGAAGACTTCCCCCGAAAATACTTTTTTTTTTTTCCATCACAAACATGATTATCATCTATATACAAACTTTCCAGATACTTATCTGGTTGCTATTCATATCATACAGAATTGCAAATGAATTAAACCTATTTTAAAAGTTTTTCAAGCCTCACATTTTAGTATTTGAAACTAAAAAGAAAACTTCTAAAGGTATCTACCTTAGTGAATACCTGTAAAACAATCAAAAAGACAGATCTATGCTTTTTCTACAGCTTTAAGATGACAGGATTTTTCAAAAGATAGAATTTTAGGAGCAAAAACTAGTTGTCTATCATGGCCATGGACTTAACAAACAAATAAGAACACTGAAAACGAGAATGAAGTTTTGGCTTCCCAACAGCTGCATCATCTTGAATTACCTCATTTCTGCTTTCTCTGTGTTAAAAACCTGCCTAATGTGTTACTCTTCCCCCAGAACACCATTCTCACATGGATTTTCCTGTGGGAGAGTACTCCCCAACACTCCCCAAAAAAACCAAAACAAAACCAAAACAAAACCCAAAAACAAACAAACAAAAAAACCCACTCCACACACATCTACTTTTCGTCTTGATTAAACTATAGTCACTCTTTGTATTACCTGTTGAACAGGTGATGAAGGCACACACATAATACACAAAACAACCAATCTTTATAAGAACAGATACAGATCACTCAATCTAGTCTCCATATTTATTTAGCAGAAAAAAGCATCTTTCCCCTACCTACTCCTAGTGATGATACTCTAAAAATATATCATAAAAATTACAGAGTAATTAGTTAAGCACTTCTTTACAAGCATTCAAACCAAAAGCTAAGTAATAACATAAGTTACTTACCTCAAGAAGACTTGTTAAATATTTCTTACAAATTGTAAGAGGTTCAACTTCAGCAGAATAGTTACTCCATCCTGGAAATGCAGTAACATGAACCATTCCTCGTAATGTTCTCTCCAGTGAAGGAAGTCCATAAAAACGTGGTGCATCTGTTAGCCTTAAACATTGTAGCAGCTTCAGAGCCAGCTCAGTTCTGAAAGAGCCAGCAAGTTCCAAGCACTCTCTGGTTTAATTGTAAAAAACAAAAATCATCAACTGTCAACATAAAGTTATTACAAGGAATCATTTTCCAAGAGGGCAATGCCTCATTCTTCTTACTGTTAGTCTGAAAGTCTCAGCATCTCAATTAGTTACTACTGCCTTATGCACAGACTAGCATGGAACTAAATTTGACATTTCTAGCTTCAACAAGGTTCTGAAAACATAATATTGCATCTGATTATAATAGGGCTGCTTAACTAAAATCTGACAAGTGAGATATAACTAATTACTAAGGAGCATGTTAAATAAAGAGTAAGAGACTGAAAATAGTGATAACAATGAGAAGAGTTGCAAAGCTTAGTAGTTACACTTATGTTTGTTCTTGCTGAAGAGACAAATTTAAAAACATTTCCTGCAAAATACCATCAGTCTAGAATTCATGGTCTAGGTATGGCAGCTATAACTAGCAGGAATTTCTATAATCCTCCCTTTTCCAGATGTCAAGATTTTTAGAAAATGAATAACCAAGCTGGAAGAGTAAAGAAGGTAACATTGAAAGAATCTTTACAAACAATTACACTGTGGCACTTAAATAAACAAGTATTATCTTGAGCTGCTATTTTAGTATCTCAGAATACACATGGACAGAGAGATTTAGCATCGGAATATGTTATATTAGAAACTCGGAGAAAAATAAATTAAATGCTTAATTGACAGAAAAAGGTTGGAACTTCATGCTGGAAGTCGCTGTACTAAATAATCACTTATGTGCACTGATATACTGTATTAGGCCATAAAGGAGTTCAACTGAAATAAACATTTGTTGCTATTTCAAATATTCCAATGTTTTACTTTGCTATAAATAAATGATACAAAATCAATGAAGTTATCATTTGCTTGTGAAAATTTCCAGCAGTGACAAAGAAATGGCCCATCTTCTCCCTGCAGTCAGTTTAACTATTTGCTGAACAAATGACCACTAGCACATCACCTTCCAAGTTTCCTAGTTGATTTCCTAATTTTACTATGAGAAGGCCTATCTAATGTTGATCTTCAAAGGAGTATACTCCATTTTTACAATTAAAGACGATTAGGTCATGATGTAATTATATTCAAATTCTGCCCACAATACAGCAGCAGTAAGTATTATGATCCCCAGTCAGAATTACACAGGCAGGTCCATTTATACTGTACCTGTCAGTCACTGACATGGAACAAAATAATGACGTGTTAAAAAGACGAATGAGTTCTTTATCCAATTGCTGCCTGACAGAAGCCTGTACTTCATCTATTTCATCCCGCACTTGGGATTCTGGTCGCACTAGGAGGCCCAAAAGGGATTTTGGCTTCTAAAAGAAAAGAATAAAAATACAGTCAGAAAATGCATTATTTAAATCCTATTTTAATATCCACACAAAAGCCATTTTTCTGTTGGGAGCTTGCAAATCACAAAAAGTATAAATTAAAAATTCCATGATCATTTTATTAAGAAGTATTTCTGTAAAAAGCACAGTAAAAATGGGGAAATACAAGTGCATGGAGACTGTACTTAGTGTGATATCCTTTTTAAGACCATGAATGATCTTGTATGTGGGCAGTTTGCCCTTGGCCTGTGAAGAAAAAAGGGCAAAAAAGTACTTTGCAAACTTCTAAAACTGCAGCCATCACTTTTATACTTTGTTTTTATAAAGCAAGATTGAAATATTGTATTTTGACAAATATAATAAAAGTTGGTTTATATTGCTTTATGTTCATTTTCTACTTGCTTTTATATTTTCCAATTCATCTTAAATTGAATAGTATTGGACAGAACAAATCTCAAGTAGAAAGCACAGGAGTCTAGAAAAAACTGAAAAATAGACATAATCATTTAAAAAACAAACTTAAGTGACAGACACACTGAAAGCAAATCTCTCCTAACTTACAATTCTTGTTCTTAATGTGAGACAGATAATGTTTATTTCTATCTTTTTCCTAAACAGAACATTCCAATAGAAACATTAAGTTTTTCAGTTACATAGACAACACATACATAGTTATGTAGCAACGCATACCTTATAAGGCTGTCTGTGCTTAGTGCACATAGAATCATAGAATAGTTAGGGTTG